TTGTCATGTTACTAAATTGCCTATGTTTTATTATAACACTGTTGCTAACAGGCAGAAAAATATCTGTGTAAACCTAAAAGCCAACAATGTAAGAAATGTTAAAAAGTCCCCATACAAATCCAAACTCCAGCCCAAGATTCCCTACCTTCTGGAAGTTTCCTGAAATGCTTAGGTCCTCCTGACTTCTCCCTGTCTGGTCTCCTAAGGCAAGGAGTGGACTATTTATTTAATGCTCAATCACTCTTTACTCTTTCCTTCCTCATTCATGAGGTTTTTTAGAATTTTTGTTGTTGTTGTTGTTATTGTTTTGGTGGGGGCAGGGAGAAGTCCTAGGGGTTGAACTCAGGGCCTCAAGTTTGCCAGGCAGGCATGCTACCACTTGAGCCACCCTGCCAGCCCTCACTAGTGATTTTTTTGTTTTGTTTTGTGATCCAGGAACCATAAATGCTAAGCAAGCATTTTACCTCTGAGCTACAGCCCCAGACCCACTCTTGGGCTTTGACTTGCCAACAGAGCTATAAATAACTGGAGTTCAGACAAATACCACATCCAAAATATTTGTATACACTCAGCATTGTGGCTGAATACCACAATCAGATAGACTTAGTTCATATCCCACATCCACTAGTGGGCAAGTGACTCCATCTCTCCCAGGTTGGTTTCACCAGCTGTCAAATGTGGATAATAATAGACCCTAGCTCACAAGCTTGGCGTGGGGTTTCAGTACACTAATGTGTGTAAAGATATTAGTTCAATGCCTTACATCTAAGTGCTTTACTACTAATATACTTAGCACAGGGCTAAAAACCCCATCAATTTCTCTGCCTTTCTTATTAAAGTGAATTAGAGCAAAGTACAGAACATCATAATTGCCTGTCATTGACATTCAGCCCCTTAGAGTAAGAATCCTCCCACACAAGGAAACCATTTTCTTCTTAAGAGATACAAAAGTAGGAATTAGCTTTGCTTTTTTGGGTCTTCCCCCTCTAAGAACACCAGAAACTCCTATTCTTGGCAAATAGAGCTTGTTGTCTTGACAACACAGATTGCCAAGAAAATAAGTAAACAAAGCATCTGTATCTTATTTCAAAAGGAAACTTTTAAAAACAATACAGGGAGGGGGCTGAAATGTAAGGCTTTAAGATGATCTCACCCAAGGATAGCTTTCTGCCAATGCTCTCCTGCCAATGCTCTGTCCTTCTGTATTGAGGTGTCGTGTGTTCTACTCAGCATTGTTCACAGGAATGTTCTACCTCCCCAGCCTTGAACATCCAGAACCAAAGAGCAGGATTAACAACACCAATGAATTTGATCCTTCAGATTCTTTTTCCACTCAGCAGAACAACAGAATGACAATAGCAAAAAAAGACCTTGAGAAATTTCCTTCCACAGGCAGCGACATTCATAGGGTTACCACACCCAAACATAAAGGGCATCATAAAAGAAGAAGTTGGTGGAGACAAAGATGATGACTCTCTTTGCATTAGCATACATCTTCTAGGAAGAAAAACACCAGTATAAACACCCAAAATGTCAGGACAAAATTTCAAACACTTCGAACAAGTAGAAATATTCCAGGCAGACAGACAGGTGAACACAATGGTGGCCTGGTGATGAAAGCCTGTCCCATGTGGAACCGAATCCTCATTCTAGACCTGCCATGGAAAGGGCTGTGTCAGGCAACACTTCTGAGGTTCGGCTTCCTCATGTGTAAAAATGGGGAGGGTACGGAGCTTATGAGCACTAGAGATGGGATGTGTGAAGTACTGAGCAGTGTCTCACTCTGCTGTGTACTAGGTAAGTGCTAACTAATACTAGGAGTTCAACAAACTGAAAAAGAATGTTCACAAAAAGAGTATTGCGCTTTTTGACAGATCAGGCAGCTTCCAGGATTAGGGTTAAAGCACATAGTAGGTTAGAATCCCAGCTCTGCAACTGGCAAGCTGTGTGATGTTGGGCAAGTGAGTTAACCTCCTTCTGCCTCAGTTAAAAAAAAATTAATGCAGGGTTGGCAGAGTGGCTCAAGTGCTACAGCGCCTGCCTAGCCAGCATGAGGCCCTGAATTCAAACTCCAGTACCACCAAAAAAAAAAAAAAAGAATGCTATTGCCCAGTTCTTAGGATTGTTGTAAAGATGAAATGTGATAATTTTAATAAAAAATTTACAAAAGGGCATTCTGTAAATAGTAGCTATTCCCATCCACCCCAGGGCAGGAAACACTCAACATAACACCTGCTAAGTAACAGATGCCAGCCAGGCCCATGGAGTCAGAATACCTTTCTTTTCTTCTTTTGAGAACACATAGACTCAAATGTTTACTGGCAGCTAAGTGCAGGTAGCTTGGTCTGTAATCCTAGCTACTTGGGAGGCTGAGATAGGATCGAGGTTCAAAGCCAGCCTGGGCAAATAGTTTGTGAGACCCCATCTCCAAAATAAGCAGAGCAAAATGAACTGGAGGTGTGGCTCAAGCAGTAGAGTGCCTGCTTTGCAAGCATGAAGCCCTAGTTCAAACCTATGTCACACAAAAAAAAGTTCACTAGCTAAGAATCTACACCCTTTCATATTAAACCACAATATTCATACAATTATATAATTACTAACTTCCTTCTCTCACAAAATGCTCTGCCAGCAAAAACAGCCAGTTGTCACCCAGATAATTCTGAGTTTAGGGGTCACTCTGGTATTTCCACTTTCCATTTGACCCACTATTCCCTCCTAAAGATGGGACACAGCCAACAAGTCTAAGTCATGGACAGCAGAGAACTACAGACTTCTGTTAGCTTTGGATTCAGGCTCTGCCTTCTTGCCAAGATGAACGTGCAGCCAGCTGAGAGCAGGGACAGGTAGGTCTGGCTTTATCAGTAAAAACCACTCTGTGCTCAGAAAGCCCTGGACACTCATTTTAAGACTCTGTTACTGCCATTTTGAAATTCTCTTTTTTTTGGGGGGGGGGGCGAAGCTGGGGATTGAACCCAGATCCTTTAATACCACTGAGCTATACCCTCACCTCCTCAAATTTTTACTTAATAGCGGCTTCATGTTTGTATTTTGCACTGGGCCTTCCAAGTTCTACAGATGATTTCCAGCTATGCTGGTAACTGTGAGGTCCACTAATAACCCTGATCCCATCTCTTGGACCACCCTTTGCTAAGGCAGAGTGGTTACGGGCATTTCTGCCATAGGCTGGAAGGATCTTACCTAAAATGACATCAGGAGACTACAGGCATGGTTCAAGTGATAAAGCACCTGCCCAGCAAGTATGAAGCTCTGAGTTAAAAAAAGAAAACAACAAAATTGACATGATCAGGGCTAAGGGTATAACTCAGCGGTAGAACCCAGGGTGAGGCCCTGAATTCCGTCCCCAGCACCTCCCACCTTGTTCCCTCAAAAGACACCAGACGGGCATTGTGGCACATGCTTGAAATCCCAGCATTCAGGAGGCTGAGGCAGGAGGATGAAGAGTTCAAGACCAGCCTGGGCTATATAACAAGACCCTGTCTCAAAAGCCAAAACAAACAAAAAAATACAGATGAGAAAATATATTTAAAATAATAATAAAAATTTGGTAAGAGTAGTTGTTTCCTGAAATAATTACCTTTTACTGGATGGCTGTTAATATTTCATTTTTGCCATCTACAAATACACCTCCAAATAAAGTTAAGGAAAGACTTTAAACAACACACCAATCGGTGTCTCTGTTTCTACACTGAGTCTGTTTCCAGAGCAGCTGGCTCTGGCCAGGAAACACTCTCTGTGGACAGGAGCTGTTTTTCACTGCTTCAGAGCTCTGGAAAGAAACTGTTTCTCATTAGAAAAGTTTAGATTTAATGGAGACAGAGCCAATGACAGAAACTGCAAAATTTGGTTGGTTCCTTGTAGTTTTAAAAGGAATGCTTGGGTGTGGCTGTTGCTTTGGCATTTTTATATGAAGTCAAGGATAAGAAATTAATGAACAGAGGGAGTAGGTGGTTCCACTTACATGCTGGGTTAAGATATGTGTATAATTTTGTACATACTGTGTATTTGATGAAAGCATCTATGCTCCTGAGCTTCACACCTTTTCTGTTTATAATCTCCTTTTCATAAGTTCCTGGACTTAATTCATCATAACTTCTCATTTTATATTATATATCATATAGCTAAATATAGAAAAAGCATAATGCACGCACACACACACAAATACACATACACAATCAAGCCAACAATCAGAAATGTTTCTCATCATTAGTCCAAAAGCATTAAAATCCCTTTTCCTGAGCTGGGTGCTGGTGGCTCAGCCTGTAATCCTAGCTACTCAGGAGGCAGAGATCAAGAGGATCAAGTTTCGAAGCCAGCCTGGGAAAATAGTTCTAGAGACTCTATCTTGAAAAAGCCCATCAAAAAAGGCTGGTGGAGTGGCTCAAGGTGTAGGCCCTGAGTTCAAGTCCCAGTACCACAAAAACAAAACAAACTCTCCCTGGCTGGGCGCCAGTGGCTCACACCTATAATCCTAGCTACTCAGGAGGCAGAGATCAGAGTTCAAAGTCAATTGTTCTCTAGGCCCTACCTCAAAAAAAGACCCTTCCCAAAAAAGAACTGATGGAGTGGCTCAAGGTTTAGGCCCTGAGTTCAAACCCCAGCACTGCAAAAGAAACAAACAAACAATCCCTTTTCCTTTTTAAACTCTGGTCAGGCACTGACATGTGCTTATAATCACCGACACCTGCTCATGCCATGAGAAGGGAAGCTGCAGAAGGAAACCCAAGCCTCATGAAAACCAGCACTGAAGCTGAGTGGAGGTATAGCTTAATGGCAGAGCACTTGGCTAACATGTGCAAGGCCCTGAAAGAAGAAAATGTGCAATAAGCCCATGGAAACATCTGCCCACTCCCCAAAAGGACCCCACATAGAACTGGTTAACAAAACAGCTACTAATTAACAAAAGGTTGGAATCCTTTGTTACTAGAAGGAAAGAAAAAGAATAAAACAAATACATACTAGAAACAAAGTGAGACAAAATGATCAGAATGCAATTTATTGACAGACAAAAGTGTCATGCATCCACCATTTATGTGCAGGGAGAAGCACGAATGAGTCCAGAGTGTGATGCTCTGCACACGGCCAGCAGGGCTATGGTCTCTAGAGATGGTTGATCAAGGGTACCCCATGGGAGGGTAGCTCCTGATGAAGCTGCCGGAAGAGCATTGCGCACCGGTTCCTCTCCTGGGTCTTCCCCAGGGCATTGTACAGTCTGGCCTGGAAGTAAACGACGTCTCTGATTCGCTCTTTGCAGTCGACTTTTGCAAAATAGTTTTTAGCTTCGTTGAGGTTCTCGATGGCAGCCTCGAGAGCTGACAGATAATGGGGAAAACACCATACGTATTTAGCACCTCACATACAGTTTTCAAAACTTGGTATCTAGTTTTATTTAGCAAATATCAGGTATTTTTATACTCTCCATTCTTAAAGAGATAAAAAATATGTATAAAGTGAGGTTTCAAAAAGACCTTAAATCCTGATCTTTATCTGGTTCCTGGCTGCATGGAGTTAAAATAACCATTCATTTGCCCTCAACCCTTCTGCCAAACATGCATGTGAAAGCGGTTTTAAATGCTGTGTGAAATTTTAATATGTGTTTGTGAACAATTAAGTTGTCCCCAATTTAATTCTTTTCCTCCTCACAGTCCTAAACTCTAGAAGCTTTCTAGAATAGTACTGCTTAACAATCTTTGTACAGTTTCCTACCTTCTGCTTTCTTCGGTGGATCATAGGAAGCTGCTGAAGCCACCTGGCACTTGGCCACTAAAAACATGGCTCGGCCTTTGTCCAGAATAGCCCCATCAGCCAGGATGGGCTCAATGGCCATGTGGAGAAGGGTTAAGGCCTGTTCTGGGATTCCAAGGATGAGCTGAAAAAGAAACATCACACAGCACTGTACACACCATACCCAGTGCCCACAACCAGGAAGGGCTTCATTTCTGGCTGTACTCTCCTGAATGGCTCTCTGACTTAACTTCTCCATGACAGGTATTACACAATAGCAGGCACCACGCTCTAAGAAAACATAGTATGTGACAATGTGATTTCAGACTACAACAAACACAGTAGGGAGAGATTATTCGCATTGTAGAAAGGTTTTCTCTTTTTTAGCAGTACTAGGATTTTAACTCAGGGCCTTATGAGCACCTAGGCAGGTACTCTCCCAAAAGGTTTGTCTTTACTGAATGATTCAGCATTGATATTCTTAGATTGATGATGCTGAGTGGAAAAGAGCAGTGTAAGATTTAGTAGAGATAACAACTAAGAAAATAATACAGAAGAATGACAAGGGAATTAAATTGGTATGGTAGAAAACATCTATTTAACGTGAAAGCAGTAATGGAGGAACTGAGAGACAATGAAGATATGATTTATAGAAAAAAAACAGCAAATTAGAAGTCCTTTCTTATTAGTAATGATATTAAATATAAATGGATTGAATCTCCAATTAAAAGGTAGAAACTGGCAGAACAGATTTTTAAAAATTAACTAACTATGCTGTCTACAAGAGACTCACTTTTTTTCTGTTTTATTTTGTTTTGTGGTACTGGGGTTTGAACTCAGAACCTACACCTTGAGATAACTCCACTCGCCCTTTTTTGTGATGGGTTTTTTTCAAGATAGGGTCTGAGCTGGCCTTGATCCTCCTGATCTCTGCCTCCTAAGTAGCTAGGATTACAGGCGTGAGCCACCAGCACCCTGCTGAGACTCACTTTTAATTAAAAGACACAGCTGAGCCAGGCCTGGTGGCTCACACGTGTAGTCCTAGCTACTCAGGAGGCAGAGAAGAGGAGGATCGAGGTTCAAAGGCAGCCTGAGCAAACAGTTTGAGACCCTATTTCAAAAAAAAGAAAAAAATCACAAAAAAGGGCTGGTGGAGTGGCTCAAGGTATAGGCCCTGAGTTCAAGCCCCAGTACTGCAAAAAAAAAAAAAAAAGAAGAAGAAGAAGAAAAGCTGACAGAATTGGAGGTTGAAGGGAGGAATAATACACATTTAACAATTTAATAATACACATTTAGCTAGAGAACGTAATATACTACTTTTCAGGAATTCATAAGAAAATTAGACAAGGCTGGGAACGCAGAGCAATGGTAGAGCACTTGTCTAACATGCAAAAGGCCCCAGCACTGAAAAAGAAAAAAAGACATGAACACCACCATGCATGAACTAGCCCTAACAGGCACAAAAAGCATACTGTCCGACAATATCAGAATACAAACTCTTCTCAAGTACATGTGGAACATCCTCCAGGAAAAAACTATATATTAGATCACAAAATTACACTGAGTAAATTTTTAAAGAATGAAGTCATACAAAGCATCAGTAAAATGAGGAAGTTAGAAAATTTAAAAACAAGGAAATTAAATATCTAAGGAGCCAACAAAGATATCACAAGGGATATTAGAAATAATGTATAAAAAATATGCGATGAAATAAAACTTTATGGGATGCCATTCTCAGGAAGATCTATAGCTATAAATAAGGTAGGCATTATAAAAGAAAGAAGATCACAAGTGAATAAGAAAGCAGAAAAAGAGCAGGGGAAAAAGAAAAGCAAACTAAACCCAAAGACAATACAAACAAGGATTAAAGTAGACAAACAAAAGAGAGAAGGGAAAAACAACAAAAATCAATAAAACTAAAGCTTATTTCCTTTAGAGATTAACAAAATGACAAAGTGTGAGTCACACTGGACAAGAATAAAAGAGAAGACTACCATCAGGAATGATTTTACTAATAGCTACACAAAAATAAAAAGGTTTATAAATAAATACTATGAATAACTAATGAAATGAACAAATTCCTAAAGACATAAACTACTAAAACTGATTTAAGAAGAAATAAAAGCAGTTCAGGATCAAATGACTCCACTAGTGAATTCTACCAAACTTTTAAAGAACACACACCAATCCTTCTCAAATTCTTCCTAAAACCAGAAGAAGAGCTGGGTGCCAGTGCCTCACGCTTGTAATCCCAGCTACTCAAGAGGTAGCAATCAGGAGGATCATGGTTCAAAGCCAGCCTAGGCAAATAGTTCATGAGACCCTGTCTCAAAATAAACCATCACAAAAAAGGGCTGGCGGAGTGGCTCAAAGTGTAGGCCCTGAGTTCAAACACTAGTAACAGCAAAAAAGAAAAAGAACAAAACTTAGGAGACTCACTTTTAATTTGATCCTCAGTACTGCAAACAAAATAAAACATAAAATAAAAAACAAACAAAAAATCTACAGGTGAGGCAGAGCATACCTGTAATCCCAGCACTCTGGAGGCTGAGGTAGAGGTACCCGGAGCAACCTAGTAAGTTCTAGGTCAGCTAGGGCTACCTGGTGAGACTCTGCCTCAAAAAAAAAAAAAGACATTATGGTACAACTGGTATAAGGCTAGACATACAGATTAATAGAACAGAACCATTCCATTCTGAGAGAGTCCAGAAATATATCTACACACCTATGAATGATTTTCCTCAAAGGTGCCAGCACCATTCAATGGGTAAAGAATAGTCTTCAAAAAGTAGTACTGGGATAACTGATATTCACAAGCAAAAGAATGATCTTGGACCCCTATTATCATATATAAAATGTTTCAAAGATCTGAACATGTTAGAACTGTAATACTCTTAGGTGAAAATGTATGGGAAAATGTTCATGGAATTAGATTTAGCCATGACTTCTTGGATATGATACCAAACACACAGTGACAAAAGAAAAGTTATAAATTGAAATTCATCAAAATGAAAACCTTTTGTGTTCCACAAGGCATTATCAAGAAAAATGAAAAGATAGAAAATATTTGTAAATCACATATTACCTAAAAGATCAGGTATTCAGAATATATAAAGAATTCTTAGAAGTCAGTATTAAGGACTGGGGATGTAGTTCAGTGGTACAGTACTCACCTAGCATGTATAAGGCTGTGGTTCCATCCCCAGAACCACAAAAAATAACGTCAACACAAAAAAGAACAAACTGCCAGCTGTGGTGAGCAGCCAGGATTACACACCTGCAATTCCAACATTTGGGAGATTCTAGCAGAAAGATAACAAGTTTAAGGCCAGTCTGGACTACAGAGCAAGACCCTGTCACAACAAACCATAATAATAATAATAATAATAATAATCCAACTGGCCAATAAGCACATGAAAAGACATTCACCAAGAAACTGAATACCAGACCACACTTAGATCCACTGCACACCCATGGTAAGTGCTGCTAAGACTCTCGATAATCTTGGCAACTGTGGAGAAACTGGGGCCCTCAGACATTGCTGGTCAGATATAAAATGATGCAGCCACTGTGCACCATTTGGCAGTTCCTCAAAAAAATTAAAACAAAGTTATCATATGTCTCAGCAATTTCAATCTTAGAACTAAAAACTAGTGTTCAACTAGAAACTTGTGCATGAAAGTGAAGAGCAGGACTCCTAACAGCCACAAGGAGAAAACAACCCAAATATCCATCTACTGAGGAGTGGATAAATAAAATGTGGTCTATCTATGCAATAGAATATGACTCAGCCATTAAAAGGAACGAAGCAAGGCTGGAGGCATGGCTCAAGCAGTAGCAATCATGCCTAGCAATCATGCAGCTCTGAGTTCAAACCCCACTACCACAAAAAAATAAATAAATAATAAAAATAAAGGTTTCTAGGTCGTTTATAGACAGTTTAAATGTTTTTTGTTTTTGTGGCACTAGGGCTTGAACTCAGGGCCTACACCTTGTGCCACTCCACCAGCCCTCTTTTTTGTGATGGGTTTTTTCAAGATAGGGTCTCAAGAAATATTTGCCCAGGCTGGCTTCAAACCTAGATCCTCCTGATCTCTGCCTCTTGAGTCGCTAGGATTAAAGGCGTGACCCACCAACGCCTGGCCTTCTATACTTTTATATGTCTTTCTTAAAAACAGCTAACTTGTGAACACAGCCCAAATGTACATCCAGTGGATGGATAAATAAGCAAAGCACAGTACATTATCATACAACAATGAGGCATTTGGCAATAAAAGACATGTATCAGAATTTCAACGTAGATAAACCTCAAAAATATGCTACATGAAAGAAGCGAGGCACAAGATCACACACTAGGTAAATCCACAGAGACAGAGACAGACTGGTGGTTACCAGGGGCTGGAGAAAGAGGGAAAGTGAGAAAAACTGCTTAATGGCAACAGGATTTTATTGTGGAGTGAGACAAACATTTTGTAACGAAGATGGTGGTTGTACAACACTGTGAATGTACTAACTACCAATGAACTGCTCACTTTAAATGATTAATTTTACGTGCCAATTGCAGATAAAGGTAAAAGAAAGACTTTTTCAGATTAAAAATAAAATCACAGGGATGCTAGTAAGGAATAGAGTCCCAGAATCTGTTCCTTACTAGCATCCCTACAGATTCTGACTTTACAGGCCCAAGCAAGGCTGGATATATAGATATCTTAAATTTGTTTAGTGGTAGGAGCCAGCATCTCTCACCTGTAATCCTAGTTACCTAGGAGGCTGAGACTGGGAGGATTGAAGTTCAATCTGGGTAAAATAAGTTTGCGAGACCCCCATCTCCGAGCAAAATACACTGGAGGGGTGCTCAAGCAGCAGAGCACTTGCTTGAAAAAGCATGAAGCCCTGAGTCCAAACCCAGTCCCAGCCAAAAAAAAAAAAAAAGATTTTTTTTTGAGTTGGGCAATGGTGGCTCAAGCCTCTAATTCTAGGTACTTGGGAGGCAGAGATCAGGAGGATCAAGGTTTGAAGCCAGCAAATAGTGCGTGAGACCCTATCTTGAAAATACACAACACAAAAAAGGACTGGTGGAGAGGCTCAAATGGTAGAGTGCCTGCTTACCAAGTGAGAGGCCTTGTGTTCAAGCCCCAGCACCACCAAAAATAAATAAAATTCTCAATAATTCTAATGCATAGTCAGTTTGGAGAACCTCTGCTTTAGCTAATAATAAACTTCTCCAGTGAGTTCTATATGCATTAATTCATTCAATGATATTTATGGAAAGCCTACTAGTAGAAGCCCTGATAGCTACCAGAGGACATAGTAAAAAATAAACAGAATCTAATCCTGCATGGCTTTTACTGAGGAAGAAAGGAAACAAAATACAATTTTATTTCTCAAAACTTTCAGGGCTGTGGGGTGTAGCTCAGTAGTAAGGTGCCTGCTTAGCATGCAGGAGGCTCCAACATACATACATACATACATACACATACACACACACTTTTCAGTGTACACCGGATTTCGTCTTTTCTGTATTCACATTCCTTTTTTGCTAAATGGAGCAAGAATCGCTCTGTGCCAGCTCATCACTGCTATGACATGGCTAGTGTTCTCACTAAAGAGGCAAGTCTCCTTTATTAAACACACAACTTGAGAAAGCCAGTACTGCTGAGAGGTGTCAGCTTGTCACCAAGTTCACAACCCACAGGTTTCCTTGGAGGGCTTGCACATGGAGACTACCTTTTAGACCTCCAATATTAACAAATGAAAGCTCTGTATTATTCTTTGCAATACCACAAAATAGGAATGAATGCAGCTCTCGAGCACAACTATGTGCTATACAAACAGAATGGCTTACCTGGGCATAAGCCAAGTTCAGCACAGTTTCAGAGGCCAAGTATTGTAACCGGTATTCCTTGGAGAGGGCCAGAGCCTGCAGGAGCACAGGCATCGCGATGGTAGGGGAAGAAGATCGCCAGTACAGCTCTGCCACCGACAACAGGACACTGACAGCAAACAGGAAAACGAGATGAGAGGATCCACCACCATGTCTCTGTGGGACACACTGGAGACCCCTTACCTGATCACCATTTCTGTGTTCTTCAATTTCTCACAGTAGGTCAACAATTTCTGTAAAAGCTTATGTGCCTCTGTCATTTGGTTCTGAGCCTGTAGTACAACCGCTTTTCTGAAAGAGAATCAAAATCAACATCAGGAGTTACGTTGATGTGTGCATGTGTTTTCACTACAGTCACTGGGGCAAGGATCTAGTGCTCAGACTGCAAATCTCCCAAGGGAAAAACTGTCTGATTTAATTTGTATCAAAAGAAAAAAAAAATGTGTGTATAAACACTCTATGTGACTATGCATGTAAGAAAAAAGTCTAGGATTATAGTTATCAGAGTGTTAGTGTTTATCTCTGGGACATACTTATTTTCCTTGGTTTGTCACTTATTTTATTTCCTATAATAAGTAGGAAAAAAAAAA